GATAGAATATAAACAAGTCAGGTTCACAGTGGAACAGAACCCACAGAGGGCAGAGAGGAAACCTGGTGGGAGTTTGGGAGTAGGAAAGGGGTCTCCAAGAGAGAAAGACCAGGGGCTGAGGTTGTGATGCAGCTGGTTGAGCTGCCGCTTGCAATGCTGGCATCCCATATGAGTGCCGGTTTCTGCTCCCTGCTACTGTGTCTGGGAAAGCAGAGGAAGATGTTTCAAGGGCTTTGGCTCCTGCCACCCATGTGGGAGACCTGGATGAAGTTTGGCCTGGACCAACCTCTGCCGTTGGGGAGTGAATCAGTAGATGGAAGACATTTCTCACTGTTTATCTTTCTCTATGTAACTCTGCCTTTCAAATAGAGAGAGAGAGAGAGAGAGAGAGAGAGAGAGAGAGAGAGAAACTGTTTCCAGAGATGCTTGGTTTCCTGTGCTTCCCAGTTCCAGTACTTGCCCACAGTCATCCTTATCACAACTCCCTTTTCTTTATTTTTATTTTTATTTTTTTTGACAGTGAGAGAGAGAGACAGAGAGAAAGGTCTTCCTTTGCCGTTGGTTCACCCTCCAATGGCTGCTGCGGCTGCCGCGCTGCGGCAGGCGCACCACACTGATCCGAAGGCAGGAGCCAGGTACTTCTCCTGGTCTCCCATGGGGTGCAGGGCCCAAGCACTTGGGCCATCCTCCACTGCACTCCCTGGCCACAGCAGAGGGCTGGCCTGGAAGAGGAGCAACCGGGACAGAATCCAGTGCCCTGACCGGGACTAGAACCCGGTGTGCTGGCACTGAAAGGCGGAGGATTAGCCTATTGAGCTGCGGCGCCGGCCATAACTCCCTTTTCTTGAGAGTTTTCAATACATTAGCCAGGCCAAGGAAAGGCATTAGGAGGAAACTGGTGGAAAACAGCAATGAGGCAAGTTCAGGCAGTGATGTGGTTGGACGCCATTAGCCTAGGACAAAGAGGAATTCTTGTATGCAGATGGCATGTAAATTCTAATCTGTCAAGAGTTAGGCTCTTGCTGAACATATGCCCTGACCCAGGAGCACTGGGGAGGGGGAGACTGAACAATTCTGCTCAAGAGTAAATATGGCCAAGAGTATCCTCAGAGGAAACCAGAATCTGGGAAAGACTGTGGGTGTCCAGGGTCCCAAGGGAATTGGAGGGAGGGGCCCAGAAGTCTGTGAAGAAGAATTTGGGAGAGACTTAAGGTTGGATAATTCACCTCTTTTAGAGTGTAGAGAAAGCCTGATTACTAACGTTCACTGAAGTGGGGTCTGTATTGTAGCAAACAGAGAAGGCTTCCTGAAGGAGGTGGCATTTCAGCAGCATTTTAAAGAGATGAAAAGGGAGATGCTGCACAAGCAGACAGAACCACAACTGTGAAAGGCTGAGTTCTGAAGGGCAGAGTGGCAGCTGCATTAGGGTCTGGCATCATAGAGCCTGTGTTTGGCCTTAGTCACTTGGCAAGTTACTTTTAAAGTGTGAAGTCCCAGTTTCCATAATTATAAGATGATGATAATAATATTGTATTTCTTCTATTTTATTCTAAGTCCCACTGCTCCTACCCATCCCACATTTAATGTTTCTGAAGTTGGGACATATCTTACAAGTGATACCCCAAAATACTACCTTTGTCACAGAGTAGAGAAGAAAAATTGTGATAGCGCTAACACCAACTGAGTATATGCAAATTTAGCCATCCACAGAAAGATGTTTGATAATTTGCTAAGTTGACTCATTTGCATTTGTAAAATTGCAATTTTTTTCTCAATTGACACCTAATAATTGTATATACTTGTAGAAAGTTGAATTTTTAAAATTTTTTTATTTGGGGGCTGGTGCTGTGGTGTAGTAAGTTAAGCCTTCACCTGTGGTGTCAGCATCCCATATAGGCAGCTGTTTGAGTCCTGGCTGCTCTACTTCTGATCTAGCTTCCTGCTAATGGCCTGGGAAAGCAGAGGAAGATGGCCTAAGAGCTTGGGCCCCTGCACCCATATGGGAGACCTGAAAGAAGATCCTGGCTTCTGGCTTCAGCCACTGAGGTCATTTGGGGAGCGAACAGTAGATGGAAGACCTCTCTCTTGCTTTCTCTCTCTGTAACTCTGCCTCTCAAATAAATAAATAAATAAATATTTAAAAAACACTTTTATTTGTTTATTTTCATTTTATTTGAAAGGCAGACAGCCGGGTTGAAGCCAGGACTGGGAATTCCTGTCCAATCTGGGTCTCCTACATGGGTAGCAGGGACCCAAGTACTAGAACCATCACATGTTGCCTCCTAGGGTGCACATCAGTAGGGGGCTGGAATCAGGAACCTGAGCTGGGTCTCTGACACAGGCACTCCAGTATGGTGGTGAGCATCCTGAGTGGCGTTTTAATTGCTGCACCAAGCACTCCCCAGGGAGCTGAGTTTTAATTTGAACTGCAAAGTGTCACTTTAGGTGTCTGTCAAAAGGCTACACTGTGATGAAGCACTGAAACAAGAAGTTAACCTGTAGGCTGATTAGTTGCAATGCACTAGGAATACAATGAAATTTAGTAGAAATTGCCAATTCTCTTGGCAAATTTGACATGAAGTTACGATGCTAGTAAAGGTTGGCCAACTGATCTATTTGAGGATATTGAATATTTAAATTGATAGTTTCTAGTAATCCAGAGTAGCTGTGTAGATTCCAGGGAGATGTAAAAAATGTTTATTCTTTTTTTTTTTTTTTTTTTGAGAGGCAGAGTTAGAGAGAGAGAGAGAGAGAGAGAGAGAGAGAGGGAAAGGTCTTCCTTCCATTGGTTCATCCCCCAAATGGCCGCTACAGCCGGCGTGCTGCGCTGATCCGAAGCCAGGAGCCAGGTGCTTCCTCCTGGTCTCCCATGCAGGTGCAGGGCCCAGGCACTTGGGCCATCCTCCACTGCACTCCCGGGCCACAGCAGAGAGCTGGACTGGAAGAGGAGCAACCGGGACAGAACTGGCGCCCCAACCGGGAATAGAACCTGTGGTGCCGGCACCGCAGGCAGAGGATTACCCTAGTGAGCCATGGCGCTGGCCCAAGTTTATTCTCTTTTTAAGAAGGATTTATTTTTATTTATTTGAAAGACAGAGTTAGAGAGAGAGAAAGAGAGAAAGAGAGAAAGAGAGAGAGAGAGAGAGAGAGAGAGAAAGATCTTCCATCAGTTGGTTCACTCCCCAAATGGCTGCAAAAGTCAGGGCTGGACCAGACTGAAGCCAGGAGCCAGGCGCTTCTTCTGGTCTCCCACATGGGTGGCAGGGTCCCAGATACTTGGGCCATCCTCTGCCATTAGCAGGGAATTGCCAGTACTAAAACCAGCACCCATATGGGATGTCAGTGTCGCAGGCAGTGGCTTTACTCACTCTGCCACAGTCCTGGCCCCTAAAGTTCATGCTTATTTGAAGGGGCCGGGTGGGGGTGGGGGATAGAAAGAGTTCTATCCAGTGATTCACTCCCTAAATTACAACAGTTGGAGCTGGACCAGGCTGAAGCCAGGAGCCAGGAACTCCAGCGGGGTCTCCCATGTGTGTGGAAGAGGCCCATGTATTTGAACCATCACCTGCAATCACCCAGGGAACACATGAGCAGGGAGCTGGATTGGAAGTGGAGGCGGGGCTGATCTCAGGCATTCCAATATGGGATGTGGGCGTCCCAAGCAGCAGCTTAACCTGCTGTGCTGCAGTGCCTGCCTGAGGGATATGCAATTTAATTAAAAGAACAAAAATAAATTTATAACCAAAGAGGAAGCATACAGAATGCTTGTATATGCTTTGAAATGTCTGAAAATTCTACTGTTACTTTCTAAAGGTGCTAAAGAGATTGAGATAAACATAGGCTATGAAAAACTATGTCATCATGCTATACTTAACCAGATGGTCAAAAGGTTAAGAGTTTAGACAGTAAAAGTGTAAGTGCTGAAACTTAGTCCTTGATTACTGAAGAAGAAAGCGGCCAGTTACAATAACCAACAGTCACTGAATTATTACTATGTGGCACTCTGTTAACTTGACAACTCTATTGGAATAGTGGTGTTATCTTAATTTTAAAGCCACAAACCTAGGAAGTAAATGGAAAAAGTTTGCTCCCAGATTCTCAGAGCCATTATGCTGTCAGAACACCCTACATAGACACTCTTAAGAAGCGCCTATGACTTTCAAGTTCGTTTAAAAAATATATTTAAGGGTAATGAATTCATTGCCCTTTTTGCTACCAATGGCATCTTACAATTAGGGAGTATGGTAAACACTTGCCTTGTGGAGTCAAGTTGAGAATCAGCTCATGAATACGTTAAAGTGCTTCTGGAAAAAGTGTGGAGCAAAGGGGCAGGTGTTGCACGGCGGGGCACATGAAGCCCGGTCTTCAGACGGGCCTCAGGGCACGGAGAGAGGAGTCAGCGAGGAGAGAGCCGTCTGCTGCGGCTCTGGGAACAGTTCCTCCACAGAGACGCCCTGCCCCTCGCAGCTGTGTGCCTCCTTCTGCTCTTTCCACGCCCATCCCAAACGCCAGCTCTTGCAGGAAGTACGGGGGAGCAGTTTCCAGATTATTAATCGATGGAACCAGGACGTGAAATATGACTTTTATCATTAAAGTTGCCCCCTCTCCTCTCTTGGCCTCAGTTTCTCTGAACTGAAAGTCGTGGTTTAGCCAGTCTCTTCCTTTATAATTTTTACCCCTCACCCCTTCAGATTTTTGCCAAAGCTGCTTTGAAGAGCAAATCTGCCTCCTCAGACCTGCAGGAGGCGGCTCCTCAGCGTTGGCAGCTCAGCAGGGCGGGGCTGGGAAAGCAGGAGAAGAGGCGGAGGCTCCGAGGGAAGCGCGGGGCGCAGTCACGTGACTTCCTTCCCAAGGAGCCTCGGCTGCAGGCCTCCCAGCAACCGATGCGTCCCGCCTAACGACGCCTGCGCATCTCGGTTGGCCGTCGGGAGCGGTTGTGGCAAGGAGGTGCCCACGGTCGCGCTCTTCATTGGTCCGGGCAACCGTCGCTCAGGTGTGTTGCCGGAGCGCCCGCAGGCGGTGCTGCCGGAAGCCCCGCCCATTGGCCGCCGGGTTCGTGGCTGGCTGGCCGCGGCTGTCACTCCGGGGCCGTTTCCCTGAGGCCAGCGCTCTGCTGGGGGCGGGAGGAAGAGGGGCCGGACTGGGGCCTGAAGAGCCGTCGCTGTCTTCGCTGCTGCTATGACCAGCGGCCGAGGCGCCCTCCGCAGTCCCGCGCAGCGCTCGTAGCGGCCGAGCTCCCGCCGAAGCCGTCCGGGTCCCCAGCGTGGCCGCTCCCGCGGCCCCTCGGCTCTTCCGTCGCCGCGCGCTAGGCGAGGCGGAGGCAGGATGAAGATGACGGTGGATTTCGAGGAGTGTCTGAAGGACTCACCCCGCTTCAGGTAGCCAGCACGGCCGCCCGGCGCCCGGCCGGCGTCGCCCGGGAGCGGCCTCCCCAGCGGTGGGGGCGTGAGAGCCGGCCCGCGGAGCGGGCGGAGGGCCGGGCAGTCCTTGTCTTCCGACGGGCGAGCGTGCCCCGACGAGGGCACTGCAGCCCCCGACCGACCTTTCCCGAGGGGCCAGGCGTGGCCGGCAGCGGGCCGCCGCCTCCTTACCCCCGCACCCCTGCACCCCCTCACCCTCTCTTCCTCGCCCTCTGCCCGGGGCGGAGCGCCCGCGTTCCCGAAGTCTCGGCCCCTCGCGGGCGCGCGCCCTGGCCCCTTCCTCCGCCCGCTGCTCTTCCTCTCCTCTTCCTTCCGCTCCCTCTCGGCTTCCACCCCTCCCCACCGCCTTGCACGGAGCTCTCAGGGCATTCTCTCGCCCCTCACTTAGTTCCTCTTTGCGCTTTTCCGCTCCTCTTACCCGCGGGCGGGGGCCGTGGGGAGCGAGGTGGGACGCGGGCTTGAGCTGCTTCGCTCTCCGGAGGGCGCCGGCGGCCGGTTCCTGTGGGAGTCCTGGCGCCCTGATCGGCGACCGTCCGCTTTTCTGTCCACTCGAGCTCTCCGAAGAGGCACTGCTGCCCAGGGGTGCAGGGCTTCGGGGTGAGGACGAGGAGAAACCAAGCGTGCGTTTCTGCTTTGAGAACGGAAGTAGGAGGGCCCCGAAGGCTGCGTTTGCATTGCTTTCCCGCTGCCGGGTCCGGGAGGGCCTCGACCGCGGGCGGTGCGCGAGGGGACCTGTCACTTACCCTGCCGTGGTGGCATTCCGGTCACCCGCGGGAGAGGCTGCCGGCCGGAGGCGGGCTAGGGAGGCTCTTTCCCTCCGGAGCGTTCTAGCAAACTCGTGAATTGCTTTGCAGAGTGGAGTTTGTCTAGGTTGTGTTTTTATCGTGTGTTTACAGGGCTGGCCTAAGGTCTTAAAAAAAGGGGGGGGGGGGTGGAGGCATAAAACTTACGATAGTGGCATTTCCTGAAAGTTTCCTCTGTGCTTGGATGTAGCGGGGTCTTTAAGAACTTATAGACAAAGTGTATCCTGAAAACACTATGCATAGATGTCCAGTTTTGCACGCAAGCTTATTTTAATTCCTTTTTCCCACGAACTTTTTAAAGTGCCCTCATACGTGTGTTCCCGCTGATCTCTCAGCCTGAATTCTAAGTCCTAGTGCCGTCTGCCTGGAAGCGAACTTCCCATCCTGACTGTTCATTCTCCTTCCGGTGAAAAGTTTAAGAAAAAGAATTGTAAAACTAAGGAACTCTTAACAGTTTAAAGAAGATATAACAACACTTTCTGCCTTTGATGATTTTGGGGTGTTCATTTTCTTTGGAGCTTAGGGCTGTTGCCTACAGAAAACAACACTTGGACTTGCTGTTGTTGTCATTCGCTTTTGAAAGTTTTAGTCTCTGCATGAATTGAAGGACTTAAGACAAACAGCTTGGATTGTGTAGGACAGCTTTTCAGGTTAGTTTTCAGGGCAGTGTGTCAAATGAAGTATTTTTTAAAGTGTACCTTAGAAAGTTATGCTTTTTGTAAGTTTTTTTAATATGACTCAGCTATTTTAAGTGATCACAGCATTTTTCTCTTAGGGAATGTAACTGTGCTCTTTGTTTTACCTTTTAAGTTTGGTTCTTCAAAAAAGAAGTTGAGTGAAGTGATTTGGAAATAGTTCTAACCATGGTGTTGGTTGCAAACCATGTGATGTCTTTGTTTTTGAAATAAATGAATTATTGAGTATAAGACGAGAGAAGGATACTGATTAGGTTATAATGAACTGTTAAACTTGAATGTAAAATTTATTTTAATTAAGATTAGGTTTTTTGAAAGGTTTATTATATTTTATTTGAAAGGCAGAGTGACAGAAAGCGAGAGACTGAAAGAAAGCTCTTCCCATCCACTGGGTCACTCTCCAAGTGGCCACAATGGCTGGAGCTGGGCCAGGACAAAGCCGGGAGCTTGGAACTCCATCTGGATCTCTTTTGTGGGTGGCAAGGGCCCTAGTACTTGGGCCATCTTCTGCTGCTTTATCAGGTGCATTATTAGGGAGCTGGATCAGAAGCAGAGCAGCTGAGACTTGAACCAGGACTCTGAAATGGGATGCCAGCATTGCAAGTGGGGGCTTCGCACCATGCTAACCCCAAGATAGTAGAGATTTTTCAAACAGATTTATTTATTTGAAATGCAAAGCAGCAGAAAAGGAGAGATGGATACTTTCCACCTGCTGGTTCACTCCCCAAACAATTACAACAGCCAGGACTGGGCCAGGTGAAAGCCAGAAACTCTGTATGCATTACAGGGGCCCAAGTACTTGGACCATCATCCACTGCCTTCCCAAGCTCATTAGCAGGAAGCTGAATCACAAGTGGAGCAGCCAGCTCTCTGCTATGGGTTGCCAGTATTGAAAAACTGTGGCTTATCCCTTAGTGCCACAATGGTGGCCCCGATATTAAAGATTTTTGAGAGTTGTGTTTCAAGTGTTCCAATTATTGTTACCTGCAAATAGAGTAGAGATACTGAGATTTCAGGATGTCTTGTGTACATTTCAAAGTTTAGATTAGATTTACAATAGAGGGAAGAATATCAGGAAATAGAAGTGTCATTGTTAACATTCCTAATTTTTACAATTTTCTGTTACCTTATTACTGTATGGATTTGTGTGGCATTTGAAAAGAACATTTTAGAAGTCTATTCATGCGCTGCATCTTTTAGAGAAGCTTCAGAGAATTGCACATGTAATAAGTGGCATATTGAAACTCATATCAAAATGGAAAATTTGTGAGGATTGAGCTTGTTTTTTAATAACAAGGCAGTTGCACTTGGAGCAACCCTATCTATTGTGCTGTCTTTAAATTAATTCCTATTTTTATTTTCTTCACAAATGAGTCTCTGACATTTCAATCTGGTGTGTGCTTGTCATTGCCTTAGGTGCTGTACTGTAGAATTAAAGGCAAATCTTGCTAAGGAAAAATTTCACTGGTGTTCTAAAAGAAACATTCTTAAACAGATGAGGAAGATAGGAGGAGAGCTTGTGGGACAAGGGAGAGAAGGATGTTGAAGTTGCAACATTGTCTAGTAATTTGTATAAAGTCAGTAGTTACTTTTACATGCCAGTGAACATTTTGTTTTTATTTTATTTTTTTTAGATTGGAGATCACATTTCATTGTGTAATTTTGGGTTCCCTTTTTAGTTTCTTAAACACTAGTCTAAAACCAACTTAAGTGTCACAATCTTGTTCATCTCAGACTACAAGAATGTATATGTGTCTGAGTATACTTTTTTTGAGTGGAAATTTTGCATTTTGACACATTCATTGTAGAAACCTGAATCTGTTTAGGTCCTACATTGTTTTTAGTTGTGCAGATTTGTAGTTGCTCTTTAAAATTTTGTAAAATTTTAGCAAGAATTGTGTTTTCCCTTTGTTTAAACATTCTGGTTCACTCAGGAAGTGAATATTTGTTTAAAATAACAGTTGAATTAAATAATTATAAATTGCAAAATTGGAAGATTTTTGTCATGAGCAGTGTTCAAATATAAAAATATTGGCCTTAGTAAGCTTTCAAAGTCTTTAGTCTTTTTTTTTCTTGAGATTTATTTTATTTGAAAGGCAGAGTTACAGAGAGGCAGAGGCACAGAGAAAGGGAGAGAGCGACGTCTTCCATCTTATGATTCATTCCCCAAATAATCACAACAGCTGGAGCTAGGCTTATCTGAAGCCAGGATCCAAGAGCCAGGAGAGTCTTCTGGGTCCCCCGCGTGGATGCAAGGGCCCAAGTCCTTGGGCCATCTTCTGCTTTTTCCAGGCCATAGCAGAGAACTGGATCAGAGGTGGAGCAGCTGAGACTTGAACCGGCACCCATATGGGATGCCAGCATTGCAGGTGGCAGCTTTACCCACGACACCATAGCACTGGCCCAAGACTTTATTTAGTCTTTATCTGGTACATTTATTTTTTATGCTTTAGCCGTGTCTGTTGTGCCTCATCCTGACAGCTATTCGATTATAGAATCTGTTTTTCATTTATAGATATGATTCTTAAATTTTTTAAAAAAAATTTATTTGTTTATTTGGAAGGCAGATGAGAGAGATTGAGATTGAGAGATCGGTCCTCTGGCCACGATGGTTGGGGCTGGGCCAGGGTGAAGCCAAGAGTTGGAGCTCCATTTAAGTCTCCCACATGGGTGGCAGGGGCCCAAGCACTTGGGCCATTTTCCACTTCCTTCCCAGACACATTAATCCAGGAAGCTGGATAAGAAGTGGAATGGGGGCCGGCCTTGTGGCACAGTGGGTTAAAGCCCCGGCCTGCTGTGCTGGCATCTCACAAGGGTGCTGGTTCGAGTACCAGCTGCTTTTCTTCTGATCCAGCTCTCTGCTTATGGCCTGGGAAAGCAGTGGAAGATGGCCCCAGTGCTTGGGCCCCTGCACCCGCATGGGAGACCTGGAAGAAGAAGCTCCTGGCTTCGGATCGGCTCAGCCCTTGCCGCTGTGGCCATTTGATGAGTGAACAAGCTGATGGAAGCTCTCTCTCTCTTTTTCTCTCTCTCTCTCTCTGTCTCTACCTCTCTCTGTAACTCTTTCAAATAAATAAAAATAAATCTGAAAAAAAAAAAAGTGGAACAGCTGGCTTTTGTTGGCATTACAGCAGCAGCATAGCTTACTGTGTGACACTGCTGGCCCTGATGGGAGTTTTTTTAAAAAATTGTTTATTTGAGGTACAGACAGAGCTCTCTCATTTGCTCTCTACCCAAATGCCTATAATTGCTTGGGAGTGCAGGGGGTGGGTGGGATGCTGAAGCCTGGAGCCAGGAGCTTGGGAACTCAATTTGGGTCTGCCATGTGAGTGGCAGGGACCCAGTTACTGGATCCATAACTGCTAACTCCCAGAGCTTGCATTAGCCAGAACTGGAGCCCAAACTGAGTCAGGGATTGAGCCCAAGTATTCCAATGTGAGAAGTGGGCATCCTCTCTCTC